CAGCAGCAGCAGCAGCAGCAGCAGCAGCAGCAGCAGCAGCAGCAGCAGCAGCAGCAGCAGCAGCAGCAGCAGCAGCAGCAGCAGGGCGACCTGCTGTTTGTTGGGGGGCTTGGCGAGGTGGGCCTTGCAGAGGTCGAGGACTTCGAAGCAAATGTTTTCGCCTTCTCTGTCGCAGTCCAGCCACAGCACCAAGTGCATGCAGCCCCGAGCCTCTTCTTGCAAATGCTTCGCCAGCCGCTGCTTCGGATTTGCTTCTGTCTTTATCACCGGGGCCTCAAACAGAGAGGCCGGGTCCACCCGTTGCTGCGCAGCAGCCCACACGCAGCAGCTCCAACTGCTGCCGCCGCCGCTGCTGCTGCTGCTGAAGCTGCTGCTGCCGCTGAAGCTGCTGCTGCTGCTGCAGCTGCTGCTGCAGCAGCTAGCAGCCGCACCGCACGCCCCGAAGGTGGCTCCCGCTCAAGCTAACTGCCTCGCTAGCTGAATAGCAGGCTGGCTAGCTGGGCAGTCAGCTGGCTAGCTACCTGGCTAGCTAGCTGGATAGCTGGCTGGCTAGCCAGCTGGCCAGCTAGCTAGGCGGATAAACAGCTAGTCAGCTGGCCGCGCGTGGAAAGAGGATCTTCAGATAGCTACGTTTTGGAGTGCCCGGTGATTGCAAGTTTATGGTCGGCAGAGAGCTAGCTAGCTAGCTAGCTAGCTAGCTAGCTGGCTACGAGCTAGTAGATAATTAGCGAGCTGGCTGACCGGCTAGTTACGTGGCTAGCTAGCTAGTTACACGGCCAGTAGCATAGCTAGCCAGAGACTTGCATAGCTAGCGTCCTAGCTAGCTACACGGCTAGCTAGCTAGTCACACGGCTGGCTAGCTGGTTGAAGAGCCAGCTAGCTAACTAGACGGCTAGCGAGCTAGCTACACAGCTAGCTAGCTAGTTGCAGGCGTGGTACCAGCTCTATCTGCTTTTCTTTTCGTTGGCGCCTGTTTTCTGGTGTTGCTGTGACCTTTCCAGCTAGAAGCAGCTCTTGCTGCTGCTGCTGCTGCTTCTGCTGCTGCTGCTGCTGCTCACCCAGTCATTGAATGCAGGCGGGAACTCCGTTTGGTAGATATGGCCCTTTGCGGCAGCAACAGAAACGCAGAGGCAGAGGCGCGCAACAAACGAATGAGCTCCTGCTGCTGCCGCTGCTGCTGCTGCTGCTTCTGCTGCTTCGAATGCTGCTGCTGCTCATTCCGCTGCAGAGAAGTGCTGCAGCCGCTGTGGCGACCAGACTGCGCAGCAGCAACAGCAGCAGCAGCAGCAACTCCGGCAGCAGCTGCTTCTGTGCTTACCGCTGTGGAAGTAACCTTGAAAAAAGCCGCTGCAGCAACGCAAGCAACAGGCAGCAGCAGCAGCAGACACAGCTAGCTTAATCCCAAGACAGCTGCAGCAGTTGAAACAGCGCCAGCGGAAGACCATGAGCAGCAGCAGCAACAGCAGTAGCAGCAGCAAAATAGCAGCAGCAGCAGCGGGACCAGCAGCAGTTGTTCCTCACGCTGCCCCAAAAATTCTCCTCGAAATTCCCAAACGCTTGTCACTGGCGATATCTGCAGCAAACGCGCAAGATAGCCATCCTGCTGCTGCTGCTGCTGCTGCTGCTGCCGGTACTTCTGCTGCTGCGGTTGCTGCCGTTGATGAGGTATTATACCAGCAGGGTCACACATGTTTCATCAGTCCCAGCAGCAGCTGCAACAGCTGCAGCTGCTGCAGCAACAGCAGCAGCTGCTGCAGCAACAGCAGCAGCTGCTGCAGCAACAGCAGCAGCCGCTGCGGCAGCCGCAGCAGCTCTAGCAGAAGCAAGAGCAATAGAGCTACCCGGAACAACAGCAGCGGCAGTAACAGCAGCAACAGGCGCACTGGCAGCAACAACAGCTGCTACGGTAGCAGTAGCAGCAGCAACAGCAGCAGCAGTAGCACTGGCAGCAGCAAGGGCAGCAGTGGGAGCAGCAGCAACAGCGGCAGCAGCAGCATTAGCAGCAGCAACAGCAGCTGCGTACCCCTCTTCTTTTGCTGCAGTTTTTCTTGGAGAGAATGTCCGCTAGGGTCTCGGCAATGGAGGGCTTTTCAGCCACCATCAGCACCGAGACTTCGCCCCGCTTGCTAGCCATCTTGCTGCTGCTGCTGCTGCTGCTGCTGCTGTTACTGCTGCTGCTGCATCTGCTGCTACTCCTGCGGCGTTGCTGCTGCCTGGCCGGAAGAAGCAGTGCCAGTTGCCACGGCAGCGCAGCAGATCTAAGGAGGAGCGTGCTTGCTCCTTGTTTTGTTGCTGCTGCTGCTGTTGTAGCTGCTGCTGCTGTGTCTGCTGCTGCTGCAAGCGTGGCTGGTGCTGCTCCTGCTGCGGCTGCTGCTGCTGCTGCTGCTGGGCCCTGGAGCGCGCCGACGGTCGATGAGGATTGCGGCCAGCTGCGCTTCAGCCTGCAGCGACAGCTGCAGCAGCTCTAATAAAAGTAAAAGCAAATTAAATTCCAATTTTATTTCACACTTAAGTGGGAGGCAGCAGCAGCGGGGGCCCCCGGCGGGGCCCCTCTTCGGGGGCCCCCGCACGTGGGGGCCCCTCTTGGCTGCAGGGCTAGAGCAGCAAATGAGACTGCCGGGGCCTCTTTTTGTGCCTTATTGGCCTCAACTCCAAATTTATCTGCCGCGATCTATTAAATTTAATTAATTTAATTAATTTGAGGCCTTTAATGCTCAATAATGCGCAAAATAGCCCGCGAGCGGGGGCCCGCAGCCGCGCAGCAAAGGCTTCAGCGGCAACGCTGCAGCAGCAGCAACGCTGCAGCAGCTGCTGCGAATCGCCGCAAACTCTTAAATTAGAGCCACACAAGTCCTCAAGTCCCTGAGCAGCGACTTTATGTGAGGAAAAGCCTAAAGCAGTTTTAAAAAGAACAAAAATGAAAATAAAATGGGGCAGCGGGAGAGCTCGAGTTGAAAGTAGGCGGTCTGCCCCTTGCTGCCCGGGTGTACATACAGCTGACGCCCAACGCAGCAGCAAACACAAGTGGATGGGGGGCCCCTAGGGCCTACAGATGCGCCCGGAGGCCCCCGCAAAGAAGCAGCAGCAGCAGCAGCAGCAGCAGCAGCAGCAGCAGCAGCAGCAACAGCAGTCGCAACAGCAGCAGCAGCACCAGCAGTTGAAGCAGCAGCACTGGACGCACGGCCTTGTGCGGGCTTGCCGGTATATTCCTGTGAACCAATTATTGGAGGAAAATATTTGGTTTTAAAATAAAAAAGAACCAAAATGCTTGGTTTTGAAATAAATAAGAACAGATAATGTCTGAAAATAACTGAGTTCGAAATAAATGGGAATCAGATAAAGTCTGCAGCAGCTCCGGCACTGGAGCTGGTGCGGGGCAAATCCTTCGGGGGCAAGAGCATGGGGTGTACGTACACCCGAGCGTCCACACTGAATAAACAACAGGTCCAAATACAACACATTGACTGTCACTTCTAAATCTATATATATATATATATAAATATATATTATATATATAGATAAGTATGTATATAAATATATATGCTGGGGCCCCACTGTGGCCCCAAGACCTCACTGTGGGGCCCCAGCCAGCCTCTCCCTTGCAAATCCCCTAGGGCCCCGCAGGCAGCAAATCCAAACTGCCCAGCAGCAGGGCTCTCGCGGCTGGCTAGCTGCCTGCCGCCCCAACGCCGCCCGCGCCCTGCAGCTAGCTAGCTAGCTAGCTAGCTAGCTAGCTAGCTAGCTAGCTAGCTAGCTAGCTACCCGGTTATTGTCTGCCGGCAGGCGTCGTTGGCTCTGCTCTTTCTCTAGCTAGCCGCGCCCAGGTCCCCGCGCCTGGCTAGCTGCCAGTTCGATACCAGCTCGCTCCCAGCTAGCCACCAGCTAGCTGCAATGTCGCTATCAGCTAGCCGCGCCTGGCTAGCTGCCAGCTAGCTGCCAGCTAGCTGTCACCTCGCCCGCAGCACGCTGCTGGCTAGCTGCCACCTCCTTGCCAGCTAGCTGCCAGCTAGCCGCCACCTCCCAGCAAGCTCCCTGCCACCTCCCTGCCACCTCCCTGCCAGCTAGCTGCCAGCTAGCTGCCAGCTAGCTGCCAGCTAGCTGGCAGCTAGCTGTTCGTTCCCGGCGTCTAGAGCGGCCTTTGCTGCAACATCGGGGGGCGGCTGCAGGCAGGCGGGCCTGAGGCTTTCTGGGGAGAGTTCGGAGTCTGCAGCAAAGCTGGAGTCGATGGGGACCCAGTCCTTGGGGTGTCTGAACACCTCGAGGCTCTGGGCCTCGTGGCTCCCGGGCGGCGGCCACTCCCCGGGGGCCCCCTCCCCGGGGGCCCCCTCGGCGGGGGGCCCCCCGGGGGGCCCCCCGGGGGGCCCCCCGGGGGGCCCCCCCGGGTTCTCCCAGCGGGCCAGGAGGGGCAGGGAAGCCAAAATGCTGTCGGTCCTGCTGCCGGGCAAGGCGAAGCCGAAGCGGGTGCCCCTGTCGCAGAGCAAGTTGAACTCGACGTAGCGGCCGCGGCGGAGCTGCTGCCAGCGCTGCTGCTGCTGCTGCTGCTGCTGCTGCTGCTGCTGCTGCTGCTGCTGCTGCGCGGAGCGGCGGCGCACTATGGGGAGGTAGAGCGGCGCAAAGCCAAACAAACCCCCCAGGCAAAAGGCCCGCAAAGGCCCCAACCCCCGCAGCCCCCAGTTCAGCCCGTCGAAGAAAATGCCCCCCACGCCGCGGGCCTCGCGCCTGTGGGGCAGCCAGAAGTAGCTGTCGGCCCAGCGCTTGAACTGCGGGTAAAAGCTGCTGCTGCAGCGCAGGCACTGCTGCTGCAGCCCGCGGTGGAAGTCTTCGCAGTCTTCCGCGAAAACGTAAGCCGGCGACAAGTCCGCGCCGCCTCCAAACCACCAGTAGGCGCTTTCCTCTTCGCCGAATATTTGAAACAGCCGGTAGTTCATGTGGCCTGAGGGGGCCATGGGGTGCGCGGGGTGCAGCACCAGCGACAGGCCTGCGGCGAAGAACTTCACCGCGGGGGCCCCCCGCTCGCCGCGGCCTGGGGGGCCCCCGGGGGGGCCCCAACGGGCGCGGGCGGGGCCCCCGGGGGGCCCCCCGGGGGCCCCGAGGAGCGGCGCGGGGCCCTCAAAGCCTCCTCCAGCTTCTCCCGGGCCCCCGGGCACATGGCCAAAGCTGCAGACAGAGGCAAAGAGCCGTAGACTGCGCTGACGTTCACTGCAGCTTTGCAAAAGACTGCGCCTTCTTGGAAAACCCTCGTGAGCCCTCCGCCCTGGCCGGGGCCCCTCTCCCAGCGGGTGTTTTCAAACTTCTTCGCGCAGACGCGGGGCGCCGCGCCCTCATCCTGCTGCTGCTGCTGCTGCTGCTGCTGCTGCTGCTGTTCGGCCGCGAAACTCGCCTCCAGCTCCTCCACCGCGCTGCAGATCGAAGACTGAGCCTCGTACAAAGAAGACACCCAGGCCTCGCGAAAGGCCTCGTCTGGGTGCTCTTCGGGGCCCTCCTGCAGCGACGCAAACGCAGCAGCAGCAGCAGCAGCAGCAGCAGCAGCAGCAGGGGTGGGGTCAGTCCGCTGGCGACACACACAAGCACACACTACACTGTCTGCGGCTGCAGCTGGCTGCCAGTCAGAAACCCTCAAGCAGCAGCTCTGGACAGACACGAGAGAACACTGGACGCAGCGCAGCAAAAGAACAAGAACACGGGGCCTGCAGCAGCAGCCAGCAGCAGAGAGCAGCAGCAGGCCCGCATGCAGGCGCGAACGCAGTGGCCGCAGGAGCTGCTGCTGCAGCTGCAGCGTCCCAGCCAGCAGCGCAGCAACAGAGCCGCATGCAAGACTGGGGTGTACGTACAGCTTTCATCATCTTGGGCCGAAAGCAAACAAAAGTCGGAAAGCGGCGAATCGAGAAGGCCCAGATCTGCGGCGGCCGACGCCCGGGAAGTCGAAGGACATGAAAAATTGCAAAAAATTGAAAAAAAACGAATTTTGTGTTTTTTCGGACCTTTCTTTTGCGAGCCTGGAGAACGAGAGAACCCGGACAGTTTCGAGGGGCTGCTCCCACGCGCCCGTTTTGCTGCTGCTGCTGCTGCTGCTGTTCAAATTCGGGAAAGGAACGGTCTTGCAGCGAGCCCGCCGCGCAGTGTTCGCCAGCGCTGACGGTATCTCTGTAAAGCAAATTCAAAAACAACTTTAAAAATCAAATGTTTCACAGATTTTCCCTGGGGGAACATCGATGATCGGGCCGAGACGCGCAGGCGCACAAGCAGCGTTGCAAGCGCTGAACTGTGTCCAGCCCGGGGCAGCAGATCCGCAAGATCATGTCCTTGAGGCAGAAGGAACGCACACACTAACCAAAGGAATTTTTCTACCGTTTCGTTGTTCTTTTAAATTTTGTTCAACTTGATGCTGCTGCTTGTAAGGCCACGAGGTTATCGCTTTTAGACGCCGCAGGACGTGCAGCTCGAGGCAGCGATACTCTGCGCCGTTCAAGATTTCCGCGACATTGTGGCCCGTAATGCACCAGCACACACTAAAATTCCTGTTTTCTGCATGAAATGGCATTTAGGTAGAGTTTTTGGCCTGCGCTGCACCGGTGCAAATGGCGTGGAGGCAGTGAGGGAATCGGGTGTACAGGCAGCTTGTCTCATTGCCCTCTGCAGCGGCCGCGACGAGAAGCCTCCACCGCATCGTTTATTTCCTCCCAAATTTATTGCTTATCCTTATTTTTGCATTTTCACGTCTCTGCCCTGCTTTAGCTGCGTGTTCACACAATTACAGCCGCCTACCAGAACCCCCGGGGCAGTCCTTTTAACTGCAGCGGCTTGCTTGGTGGCTGCAGTGTGTGCCCACGACGCAGGGCAGCACATTTATACAGCTTCTAATGATATGGCTGACGCCATTTCGCATTTTTAAATGCTTGAAGTTGCCTAGCACTAAACACCAGCCGTTCAACGCAGCGAAGGCTCGCCGGCTGCGCTCTGCAGCGCAAAAGAGAGCCAATCCTCTCAGTTATTCTCTTGATTTTTGCGCCTCTAATCAGCCCCTGTGTTCATCAAGCGATCTGCACACTAAGGGGCGGGGCAGGAACAGCAGCAGCACCCCTGACGCAGCATTTAGCAGCAAGTCTTCGCGTCTTGCTGCAGCAGCTGCAGCAGCTGCAGCCCGTAGCTGCGGGCTGCTGCGGCCCCGAGTGGGGTACTAGCAGCTAGCTAGGCAGTAATCCACAGCCTAGGGGCAAGTGCTAGGCGACTAAACCCTAAACCCTTAACCCTAAACCCTAAACCCTTGGGGCAAATGCGTCCGTGGACTTGAACACAGAGCAGTTGCTCTTCAATTGAAAGCACGAAGAAGTGCGGGTCGATGCGTTGCGGTTTAAAGAGTTTGGATGTACTCGGGTGTACGTACACTGCAGCGCCGTGGCCTGCTTGGCTGCGCCACGGACAGGTTCAGGAAATTAATAGAAGTAGAAGCGCCAGTTAGCGCAGCGCTGAGGGCTTGACACAGAGACAAAGACACAAGACATGGGAACTCCCTTGGCTGCCGGCTCGTGCCTACGCAGGTGCAGCAGCAGCAGCTGCTGCTGCTGCTGTGCTGCTGCAGCAGTTGCGTAGGCAGTTGCAGCGGCAGCTGCAGCACCTGTTTACAGACAGCGGCCGCAGCAAGTGGATGCGGCACACGCTTTAGCTGGTGCAGATGCCTCTAGCTTCGGTGGGCTCTGCCTGCAGCAGCAGCAGCAGCGACAGCAGCTGCTGCTGGCTGTGGCGGCTGCTGGCTGCTGCAGCAGGAATGCGGTGGCTGTCTGCCGCCCGGCCCGGCAGCGACAAAGAGCAGCAAATGGGACAAGCGCCGCAGCAGAGCTTAGAAGACATCCATCATGTCTTTTTCCAGCTCCGCCTGGTCGTAGAGATCTGCTGCTGCTGCTGCAGCAGCAGCTTCTGCTTCTGCTGCGGCGGCAGCTCTCGCCATTCCCTCTGCTGTCATTTGCTGCAGCAGCTCTGACCTGGACGCGCAGCGCAGCACGTGCTCGCGCTGCACTTCTAGCTGCTCAACAGCAGCTGCTGCTGCCCAAATTTTCTCCCGTGCTGCTGCAAGGGCAGCAGCAGCAGCCCGCAGCCGCTGCGCGCCTTCTGCTGCTGCCTGCAGAGCCACACGAGCAGCAGACACGCTGCATGCATGCGGGGACACAAAGCTGGAAGCTGCGCAGCAGCAAATGCTGCAGGGGCAGGGCTACGAGGCTACTGAGCAAGTGCGTGCTGCAGCAAGGGCCACGTGGTGGTCCCCTACTTAGCTGCTGCTGCTACTGCTGCTGTTACTGCTGCTGCTGCTACTGCTGCTGTTACTGCTGCTGCTGCCGTCTTCGCGCTGCTGCTGCTGCTGCTGTTGCACCTCATGTCGCCTACCTGCTTGAGAGACTGGGCCTCCTCGTCAGCCGCTTCGCCGGAAGCAGCAAGTGCTGCAACGACGCTCTGCAGAGCAGCAGCAGCTGCTGCTGCTGCTGCTGCCCCGTCCGCGCCCGCTGACGTCCATACGCGCCAGTCAACGCCTCCGAATGCAGCAGCAGCACTTGCTGCAGCAGCTTCACCTACAGCAGCAGCCGCTGCTGCTGTTGCAGGCTCAGCAGCAGGAGCAGGGCTTTCGGTGGCCGCCGCCGAATCCGGCAGCAGCAGCGAGATCCCTTGCCGCAGCAGCTGCTGCTCGTGCTGCTGCAGCACCAGGAGCCACGGAGAAAGCAGCTGCAGCTCAGTACTCACAAATGTCTCCCCCAAACAGAGAAGATGCTGCACCTGCTGCAGCTCCGTCAGCCGCAGCAGCAGCTGCTGCAGCCAGCGAGAGAAGTCTTTGCGAGAGCCCAAGTACAGCGCACAGAGGATCTGCAGCAGCACCACAGCAGCGCAGCAGCAGCAGCAGCAACTTAGAGGCTAGCCTACAGACCACGCAAGGCATTTACAGGTCTGCATGCACTGCAGCAAAGACAAGAAAAGTGCTGAGGCATTTCTCTCTTTTGCTGCTTGCCTGGTGCTGCAGGTGCTGCAGCGAAACGCGCATGGGGCAGTTCGCTACAGCCTCTAGCACTGGGCTCCGGCGTTGCTGCTGCTGCTGCTGCTGCTGCTGCTGCTGTTGGCGCTTGTTTTGCTCCGTGCTATTCGCTGCAGTGGCAACTGCGGCACCGGCCTCTGCTGCTGGTGCTGCTGCTGCTTTGGCTGCTGCTGCTGTTTTGGCTGCTGCTGCTGTGTTTGCTGCTGCAGTGCCAGAAGGCCACTCCTTGCCGTAATACTCGCGAATTAAAGTGAGGCCTCTTGCCTGCCGCAGTGCAGACAAGCTACTTGGAGTTAAGCCAATAGACGCTAGCAGGAACCGCTGAGCAAGCTTAGCTAAGAAGCCCTTGCTGCTGCTGCTGCTGCTGCTGTGGCTGCTGCTGCTGTTGCTGCTGCTGCCCCAAAAGCTGCTACACGCATCCTGCAGTGCCGGACTGCTGCGCTGGATGCGGTCAAGGAGAGTGTCTGCTGAGTCCTCATCTGCTGCAGTGCTGCCTGCGGAGTCGCTGCAGCTAAGGCCGTCTTGCTGCTCGGTGGCGCCCGCCGGTTCAGCAGCAGCAGCAGCAGCAGCAGCAGCTTGCTGCCGCTGCTGCTTTAAGGAAGCCCAGGAAACAAGGGAGAAGAAGTCTGACGCTGAGTACGTCAGGTCATCAATCCGTTTAAACTCATCTGCAAAAAACGCCAGGTTTTCTGTGAAGCCGCTGCAGCAGCAGCACCTGCTGCTGCCGCAGCAGCTGCTGCTGCTGCTTCTGCGAGTGCCTCCGCTCCTGCTGAAAAGACGACAAGAAAATATGCGCCCCGACCTCATAGCCACCAGCAGCAAAAGGAAGGCAGGAGCAGCAGCAGCAGGGCAGAGACGTGTCAGCAAGGAAGACGGATCCCCCACGGGTTGTCCCTCAGTTGCTGCTGTCACCTCTGGCGCTGCTGCTGCTGCTGCTGCTGCTGCTGCTCCCACTTCTGCTGCGTTTGCCTGGGGGTTGAACAGCTTACCCAGCGAACCCCAGCCGCGGTAAGCCTCCACCCACAGCACCGAGTCAGTTTCCTGCTGCTGTTGCTGCTCCTGCTGCTGCGACCAGCAGCAGAGCCCCTGCAACGGCAACAGAAACTGCGGCGCCCACACATTCTCTGCTGCAGCAGCTGCAGCAGCTGCAGCAGCTGCAGCACCGGCAGCAGCCGGTAGAAGCGGAAGCTCAAGCTTCGGCTGCGCGTCACAAGGAGGGGCCAGGCGCCCCAGCGATAGCCCGAAAAGCAAGGCGTCTGTCGTAAGCAGCAGCAACAGCAGCGGCGGCTTTTGCTGCTGCTGCTGCTGCTGCTGCTGTTGATTATGCTGCTGTTGCATCCCATGAAGGCGGGTAAATGCCATGGAAGAGATGCTGCGGCTAAAGAGACATCCAGAAGGAGGCAGAGTCAGCGTCATTCCTGCAGAGAGTGTCAGCAGCAGCAACTGCTGCTGCTGCTGCTGCTGCTGTCCTTCCCTTGTCTCTCTGTCCCTCTGCTTGTTTTTCCTTTTAGGGCAAACAACAACAGCAGCAATATCAGCATCAGCATCCACTGCCAGCAGCGACACGTACACCCCGTGGCCTGGCCTGTAGCTCCACAGGATCTGCAGAAGCCACACACACGCCGGCAGCAAAAGCATTTGCCGCTGCAGCAGCAGCAGCAGCTGCAGCAGCAGGTGAAGCAGCAGGTGCAGCAGCAGCCGCAGCAGCAGCCACACGCGGCGCAGCACCCCGAAGTCGCAGACTGCAGGAGCAGCAACAGCAACAACCGCGGACTTAACAGTTGAGTGAAGCTTACCGTCTCCTCTTCCGTCGTCTCACAGCCATTG